GCCTCGCCTCCGGAAGCTGAACTCCCCAGCCTGGCCAAAGGCCTGGGCTGTCGGAAGCACTGGGAAGAGGACACAGTAGGAAGAACTGGGAGATGTGGTCAAATGTAGGCAGAGCCGTTCCTCCATAGGATGAATCCAGGTGGCCACCCCAGGCCTCACACTTGGGGGGGCCCCAAAGTGGCCATGCTAATTGTCCGATGGATGGGAGGGACCAGAAGATTATGGGGGTCACCCCCCATATCCACCACGTGGGCGGCGGGAGCTGGAGTGCCCTGGCAGCCTGCTGCCCCCTGCTCCACCCCGCTGGGCTGGCCTGCTCCGGCTCCCGCTACCCGCGTGGCGAGTATGTGCGTGTCGGGGGAAGTGACCCTGGCTGCCGCTGTGCCAGGGCCCGGTTGTCTCCCGGGCTGCATTGCCCAGGGGAAGGGGTGGAGGTGGAGCAGAAGTGAGGCTTGCGGGAGGGGTGGAGCCGGGCTGGGGCCTGCAGTGGAGGGTTCCCCTAAGTCCTGTGTCCCCCTCAGGCCGGCCCTGAGTATAGATCCTGATTTGTTTTGCTCTCCTGTATTAAATGAAGAGTTCATTCCTACCCCCTGCAGCAGTGTCCCCCCATTTCTCCCCCCTGCAGATATGCTGCTGTGAGCTAGCGCGCAGGGTATGGCTACTCTGGCCCCTGTTTTCCCAAGCGGGCAGCGAGCGGTTAACAGGAAATCTGAGTGGTCCCCTGCGTAGCCGCATCTGGTTCCTTCCCTGTGCAATGTTTGTTCAAGGCCACGACCAAGTTCGCGAGGTCTTATCAGGGAACCATCCCGGCACGCGGCTGTAATGGACTGCAACATGCACACACGTAATTACCGAGGAGACGGGCAGGGTGGGCTGCACTTGACTGCTCTGGCTGAAACCTTGGCGGCAGCAGCTCTGGCGGGCAGGCAGAGCGCCCGGCTGCTGAGCCAGAGCGGCAGCTGGAACGGCTGGCATCCCGCAGAATGAGCTGTTGAGTTGGTGACTCAGCTGGCGCACCCAGCCTCAGGCTCATGTCCTGGGCAGAAGAGGCCTGGTCAGAGTCCAGCTAAGGACCCTAAGGCCTGGGCTGGCCTGGCGCTCAGAGTGAATTGCAGGCAAAGGGCCAGGTCCCCTTGCTTACAAAAATCTAAGCTCTGCTTTGTGTGTGTGTGTGTGTGTGTGTGTTCTGCTCTGTGTGTGTGTATGTATGTATGTGTGTGTGTGTGTGTGTCGCACACGCACATATGTGTTTTTATAGAGACAGTGTAAAGAGGAGGAAATTATCCAAGGGCAGGTGAGTTTTTGGCAGCATAAACTTACCTAACATGGAAAAACAACACGTAGGCCTGTGGCACCTGAGGGTATGTCTACACGAGGAAATTATTTCGAAAAAACTAAATTTGATACAATAACTCCCAAAGTAACACAACTGAACTAGTGTGTCCCCACTATAGGGGAGCCCCGAAATAGGTCAGAGGCAGGCTCCGTTATTGTGGACGCGCTACCTCGACTTAGAGTCCCAGGAAGCTCTGGGGAGTTGTCATTTCGCGACACTGGAGCATCCACGCTAATGCGATTTCGAAAGAAGCACTATTCCCCCAGGAAAGCAGGAGTACAGGTTTCGAAATTACCAGCCCGTGATTTCGAAATAACGGGCTTGGTAGTGTGGACGCTCCGCTTATTACTTTGAAATAAGGGGGGTTATTTTGAAATAACTCCCCAGTGTAGACTAGGGCATAGAGGAAAATGCTACATGATCTTACAGTCAATAGGGTCTCAGAGGTAAAACCAGCTCACCTGATGAAGTGGGTTTTGCTCACGCAAGCTCATGTTCCTTTATATATTTTTGTTAGTCCCTCAGGTGCCGTGGGACTGCTTGTTTTTAAAGTTACAGACTAACACGGCTGCCCCCTGAGACGTTTTTACCTAACATAGAAAACTCTCAGAAACGGAAGACCGAAGAACAGTAGGTAAATGGATGAATGAGCCAACACACATTCCTTCCCTTTTAAGGGCAGAGCAGTAGTAGTTATTAATCTTCAGCATAAATCAGGGAAAATTGGTCGCTTTTTATGACTACGCAGTTGCTTTTTCAAGCAGGCGTTATTCACTTGGGTGACAAAGAGCTCCCGGTAATGCCACAGCCTCCCTCTATTCCATCAGCACTGTGTACATACGAGATAAGAATAGCTTACCTCTGAATAATACCACAATGCTTAGCCGTCACATCACTGATCGCCACCCATAACCCACTCCACTAACCCTCCTTTGCTCTAGGACGGGCGTGCGGAGCCTCAAGTCCGGGGGCCGGATGCGGCCTCTGGCTTCCTGGATCCAGCCCCCAAGGCTCAGGGCTATACCTCCTGAGGGGCTGGAGCACACAAAATCTACTAGCCTGGGCTCCACTAGGCTCTGGTGTGTGAGGAGAATGTGAGGAGTGTCTTTCTTCTTCTCAGTTAGGGGCCACATCCGTGAGGGTTTGGGTGTGTTTTTTTTCCCAGCGTCTCACTTGCGTGTGGCCCCCGACTGATTTTTCCGTGGGTCAGCAGTCCCCGACCCAACAAAAGCTTCCCCACCCCTGCTCTCTGACCATTTGTGGGTTGACTGGCCACTTCATCTTGAAATGTCTTTGGGAAACATGTGAATTCCCTGTATGGGGTGGTGACGCTCTGAGCTCTGTCCCCGGAGCTGAAGAAGGTCTGTGTGGAGCACCACAGCTTCTCTCTTTCACATGCGTGAAGTAAGAGCTCTGACCTCCCCCGCTTTCCTTCCTCTCTTTGAAATGTTCCATTCTTCACAATTGTTTAACACCTTTCAAATCCAAATGTTTATCGGAACGAGTACTGAAATTTCCCATTGACCGCAAAGTTTGATAGGAGGCTCCTACCTTTTCAGTAACTGTTTCAATACCACTTTTGAGGGGGAAAAAAGCCATTAAAAAACCCCACTGCTAATGGGTCTGCTTTTTTAATGGTGTGAAATAGAAA